CAAGACCTTTATGTCTATTCAGGTGTCCCAAAAACTGCATTTGTCGTTTCCTGATTGTTTTAACAGTGAACGCCCCATATGGGCTTCATCTAGCACTAACTCATTTGATTGTTATTCTTCAAATGATAATGCAGATTATTTCTAGAGCGCCCTTTCCTTTATACAACGTGACAACAGGCCTTCGCACTTTACAAAAACTTTGTCTTAACAGAATGTTGCATTTTATGTATACATTATGTACGTGATCGCTCATACTCACGTGCACACACACACACACACACACACACACACACACACACACACACACACACACAAACACCAACCCACACACACACATACACACACAGAGACACACAAACACCAACACACACACACACACACACACACACACACACACACACCAACACACACACACATACACCCACACATACACACACACAAACAAAACAAACACCAATACACACACACATACACATACACATACACACACAAACACACACACACACACACACACACACACACACACACAAACACACAATCATACACACACGCAAACAACAACACACACAGGGGGACACACACACACACACACACACACACACACACACACACACACACACACACACACACACACACACAAACACCAACTCACATCACATACACACAAACACACATTCAACCAAACGACGTCTTATTTATTTCTTCCTTTCTTTCTCTTCATCTCATACGCTCACTCACTCACTCTCTCACTCACTCAAACACATACACACCCGCACAAACACACACCAGCATAATAAGCTCGCATACATTCCCCATACTTACTAAGTACATGTGCAATGTGCATGAATGTACACACATACGCTCTTCAGATTAAGGCCAACACAAAAGTGCACCATCACAGCACAGGCATGATGAATATGCACATCGCACTAAAACTAACAATCAAAATGGCATTTCAAGAGGTTTGTTTAAATTTTAAATACATATTTGTTTACATGGCGGATAAAAACATTATCTTTTTATAAAGTTTAGTCACATTTGAACAGTGTTGCTTTTTTCTCAATTCGTGACTTTCCGAATCATAAGCAGTACGTTTTGAAAGCTGAAGGCTTAACCGAAAGAATAACAAATTGGTAAGGTATAAGGGAGAATAAAGCAAAGCTGAACACTTATCCTAAAGAAGGTACATGTAGTAAAGTACAAGGAAGAATAGAGGAAATGTGAAGGTGAACATAGTGACTATGCATCTCATATTTGAATGTCATATATGTGCATACAAGCTCCATGTTATCTTCCTTACCAGTCGAAATACATGTACATTGTATATATTGTGCCACCTGCCGCTGTACTGGGATTGAATTATACCTCTCTCCCGCCCTCCCTCCCTCCCACTTACACAATTGGTCTTCTTTTGATAGTTTCATGAGTTTTTTTCTTTTTTTATTTGCTCATTTATTCATTGTTAATTTATTCACTTTATTCTCTATTTATAAATGTATTCATTCACACACTGAACTTTGTAAAAAGTTAGTTCAGTGTATATGTTGCTTTTATTTGTTTGGTCTCTTTTGATTGATTGATTGATTGGTTGGTTGATTGATTGATTGATTGATTGATTGATTGCAGGCTCTTCTTGTGAAATGGATCTGGTCCTGGAGGACTACGAAGATGATTATGAGGCTAGAGGTATACAGCATGTTCTTTTTAAGAGATGCAAGAAACACCCAGGCCACAAGGACTTCGTGCCGCTTCCTCAGCTGGAGTTGCAACATCTTCCAGAGCGATGTCGGCGCCCAGACGTGCTCAGATTGGTGAAGAAATATGCAGCAACTGCTGTGAAGCTGATAGTGAGATACACATCTAAAGATAGACCAGATCACTTCGCCTGGCCAGAGCTGAGAGGCAAAAAGACGCCCCGTTGTGGATCCGGAGCCATTTCGGTTTTAAAGAGGAAAAATGGCGGAAAACCGATGCCGTTTCTTTTTCCCAGCTCGGCAACAGGGAGAGCGCAGTACAGCAGTAGTTCCGATCCGACAACGCATAATCCTTCCACACCAGGAGATCAAGCAAGAGGAGATGGAGGTTCAGGAGCTGGTCAACTCTGCGGTCCCTCCGGAATACGTACTCAAGATAAGAACATGTACAAAACACAAATGTTGGAAGAGAATGAAGGAACAGGAAAAGGCCCGAATCTTGCAGAAAACTCTCCGGATGAGGGTGCAGAAAGTAACACTGAAACAAGCCCAAATGTTGGTCAGTTTGGTCGGTGTCCAGTTACTTCAGGAACAGGAGGGGACGCAACTGGAGCGGATGACTCGGTCGGTTGTGAAACCACGACAAAGTCCTTTCGTCAAACAGCCAAGGATGAGGGAGATCCATCAGGGCACCCGAAAACCCAGAACATTAGTTCTGGAGCAACCAAGGCGACAAGTGGTGGTGCCCGGGAAGAGGAAGATGAAGAGTTTGTCCTCAAAGTCACCACTGCTGCTCATGTTGTCTTCAACGAAGAGGAAGCCCTGCAGACAATTGTGGAGCTATTTTACGATGACGATGAGGACAGATCCAGTGTTATTTTGGCGAAAGGGATCATGCTCACTGAGGCTAAAATGGAATTTGATCGGACAACGTTCTTAGTTCGCCTCTTCAAGAGCGAACTTCTCCCGACTGTGTTGGAAAGACTATGCACTTCATCTCCAGGTGGTTTGGGTGAGTTCCCAGACCTTTCGTTTTGTGTTTCCCACCCCCATGGTGTTGCAAAGAGGGTAACTTTCGGGGATGTGAAGAGCGAAACGCTGCTAGGGGGACCTCACATTCAACACGAGACTGTCGGACAACTGGTCAGTATCGCCCAGTTCAGGCTTGGAGTTGAAGAGAGAAAACTTTTGTACTATTACTTTTACTGTATAAAACTCGAGAACACAATAACTGAACCATCTGCTTTTGGACTTTCACCATTAGACCAAAAGAGAGAAATAATGAAACACCTTGTGGGCAAAGGTCTCATAAAGTGTCCAAATAACGACGAGTTGGTACAGCTTGGTGAGCTCTTTGGGGAGAATTTGGAAATAGACAATGAAACTGTTGTCCAGATGTTCCATGACAAAGAATATATCAACGGACACTGCGATGCACAGTCTGCCCCAACAGGTCCTCAAGAGGACATCGCCGGTGCAGAGAACTTTGAAAACCCCCAGATCCCGGCACCTTCAGGCAGTCACGACCAAAATTTTGCCCACCGCTTGTGGAATGTGGTGAAGGAACAAGTTTACAAAGAAGCAGAACTGGATTATGGGAAAGCTATTGCAGAGGGACTTACTGATATTTGTAAGACGAAATACTTTCTGTCCACGTGCCCAGGAAGTTCCGGAGCAGACGTGGTGTGCCTGAACGTGGTGGACGGGAAAAGACGCATATCCGGTGTGCCGCATTCTCTGGGCACAGGGATCAGTGGAGGGGGAAGTGCCGTGTATCTCTGAGACTAATCGCTACCCCAGAATCACAAAAGTTCTATCACTGCTCAGTAGGCCTATCTAGTTTTGAGAAAATTGACGACAAAAATTTTGAGTTTCGCATCATGTAAAGCTTTTTCGAATGCAGTTCTTTGAATACATCTTTATGACGACTCCGAATAATGTCACGGATGGAGCAAACAGAACATTTGGTTTTTGATCTCATGATCCTAGTAACTCAAAACGACCAAAAATGTCAGATAGAACTTTGTAATAATTATCAGGTAGCGAACTGCTTTCTTTTTTCTTGCTAGCCTTTGTTTGTCTACCACAGGATGTAGCCCTCCAACAACGACCTCCACTCTGTTCTATCGGCCTGTTTTCCAGGGTCCAGGTTTCATCCATCTTCTCTAATGTCATCCTGCCATCTTCTTTCTGAGACAGTTCATCGTAAATGTAATAATGTCTGGAGCGGTTTGTGAACAAACTCATTATATCTCGTGAGTGATAACGTAAAAAAACAGAAGCTAATTATTTTCTTTACATCAAGTAAGTCTGTGCTTTTCTAGAAGAAGTTGAATCTAAATGTATGTAGTATGTAGTATAAAATCATAGACTATAGCATGTTTTATTGGGGAAGTATTTCATAGCGATATAGATAAAAGGTCCTGCTTGTGATTTAAAGGGGAAATGGCGGGAATTTAAATAAGATGCAAGCCATTTTGTCACAAAACTTTATATATTATATATATATATATATATATATATATATATATATATATATATATATATATATATATATATGATTGTGTGTATGTGTGTGTGTGTGTGTGTGTGTGTGTGTATGTGTGTGTGTGTGTGTGCGCGCGTGTTTGAGTGACTACTTTTTAAAAAATTTGAAACTGACACATCGAGCTAAAAACTGTTTCCAACCACGTATAGTTATCATTATTTGTAAGAAATTTTTTTTTGTTTAAATGTCCCCTCTTCCCAAGAGTATGGACAGTGACGTATGTGAAGTATTTTCTTGTTTGTTTGTTTGGGTAAAAAGCACATCGGCCCAATAATGGTATTTTAGTGCTTGAATAAAGTAAAACAATACACTACAGATAAAAACTACAACTGAGGGAAAGTAAAGAAGTGGGGCCTACCAGTGGCGCCCTCCAACCACCCGTGAGCATTTTCTGTCTTTCTACAGTGAAAAAAAAGCAAAATATACGCAAAAAATTACATGTAGATTCACAAGCATCTCAGGAAATGATATATATACATGTAAATGCTTCAATTGTATTTTTCTTTTGTTAATTCAGAGAAGTGACTCGTGATGGGGTTCTGGGCGATGATTTGGGGGCTGCCCAGTTTGTCACAGGCCCAGTTTGTAACAATTTCTTTTAAGTATTGGAGTATTGATGACAGTCATAATTACAGCACTTTAACACTGTATTTGTAACTTCAGTTTTTTATTCTCCACCTTCAAATTGGTTGTGTAGAAATAGTCCCTCTAAAATGTCGATTCAGCTTGTGTTGTTCAAGATTTCTTCCTTTTTGTATGCAATCAATGCAAACTTCAACTATGATTGTTCTTTCGTTAAAAACAATTGAAATATAAAAACATTCAATTCATATAATCAATCAATCACTCATTTACTCTTTTGGAAGGTGTCAGTGACAACTTCCATCATGCAGGGCACAGTCAAGGCCTGTGACAAACGTAATGAAATCGGTTCCTTTTTTTTAAACCAGTATTTTAGGCCCAATTCCAGCAACACTGTTGAAGGAAAGCACTGGTAATCTTAAACTGTACGTTACTGCGGTGATAAAGTGTGCTTCACCGACTGATAGTGCTGTACCCGGCTGTTATAGCAGACCATTAGAGGCGGTTTTGATGAGAGAAACATGAGCAATAACCACCAAGTATTTAACCTTTGTTTATTGGCCGGGGGGGGGGGGGGTTGTCTAAGGTTTTTGGCAAATCTTGATCTGATACAGGTTTTTTTTAGGCCATATTAAATCAATCAGTCTGGGGAAAGGGGGGGGGGGATTTCCAGTCAGCGTACAGGGCAAATCATATCATAGCACAGTACTGTCACTATGACAGCGTTTGTGCAGGTCTCAACTGACTATTTAATGGGTTGAAAGCAAAAAGGTAGGTGCGCTGACTCTTCGAAACCCTAGAATTACAAAGCTTTGTCTGTTCAGTCTAGTTTTGAGTCACAACATGTCAAGTTTTTTTCGAATGCAGTTCTTTAAATACTCTGATCACGGCTCCAAATAGTCTTATGATTTTGATACAGCAGATAGAAAATTTCATTTCTGCCCTCATGGTGTTAGTAACTCAAAACGGCCAAAAATGTCGGAAAGAACTCTGTCATTCTGAGGTAGCCACTTCTGGACCTGTCCGCTACATTTGACACCATACCTCATGATATCCCGTCAGGTACAATTGTATGTAGATTAGAAATAGTATTCGGCATTTCGGAGGTTATAACTGTACAATGGTTTGGTCCCTACCCTCAAGGCCTATCTCAAGATGTATTAATTTGGAGTCAAACTTCTGAATCAAGCACGCGCAGAATTTCAACGTAGCCTACCTTGTCAACATATTTTAAAAGTATAAAATGAAATTTCATCCATACGTTGATTATAGTACTCAATGCAAGGCATATCTCTAAAAATAAATAAGACATTCCCAACTTGGTGAATGCAACTTCGAAATTTGTATGTGTTCGAGTTTGAGAAGTACAAATTTGGGTGTTTTTTTTCTTTTTAAAAGAATCAGGCTCAGAGGCAAAGGACGTTAAATTCAGATGTACACGTAGATCTACCGCCTCGCATCCCCAAGACGCCGTTGAACCCGAAAACAGGACGTGTACCAACCATACGTCAGGGAAGCCGAGGGGACCTCTGTACAATGTACTGCGACAACTCTGTAGCCTTAAGTTACAAACTCCAGGAGGAATGCAGTCCCTTATCGGATCGGCCCACTGATATTTCCACACTGAATTTCATTGTAATCTCAAAGTTTCAGAATGATTGTAGTTGTAGTGTATCTCTTTTGTTGGTTTATTTGTTGCTTTTGTTTTGTTTTTGTTTTTTTGTTTTTTGAAGGGGGGGGGGTTGGGACGTTTGTTTGTTTTCTTTAAGTTAGAGTTTTACACCTCCATCGACATAATTTATATTGTTCATTTGGGAGACGGACATGCATCGTCCTTGCCTGTCAGGGCCAGTCTGGGCTGAAAGGGATACGGCGTCCCGGCAGAAAGACTGTGGCGGTTCTCGTGGTTGAGAGGTTACAGTGTTCGAATCCGGATAGCGACGGAAAATGTTCTTCTCTAAAACACACAGCCTACTCGAATAAGGGCATAAAATCTCGGCAGAGATCCCGTGTGCAAGTTGCGCACGTTAAAGATCTATTGGTGAACTTGGTGGTCCAAAATCGATAAGAGCAGGCTTCAACCACCACCCGGGCAAAATTCAGAATTTCCTGCCAACTGAAAATGTTTAATGTGTCTCGCGCGCTCATACGACCTTACGCAGTTGCGAGCGCCGTAAAACTCTTACCCAAAAAAAAAGAAAGAAAAAGAAGAAGAACCCGTACACAGGCGTACCAACCATATGTCACGGAATCCAATGGTCCTGGTACCTCTGTACAATGCATTGCGACAAAGCCTGCAGTCTACAGCGTTCAGGGGGATTGCAGTCCCTTATCGAACCGCCCGCTGATGTTTCCACACTGAATTTCATTGTTCGTCTCAAAGTTTCAGAATGATGTAGTGTATCCCTTTTTTTTTTCTTTTTTTCGGGGGTGGGGGGGGTTTGGTTGTTCTTTTTGTTTTGTTTTTTGTTTTGTTTTGTTGTTGTGGGTTTTTTTGGTGGGGGAGGGGGGGGGGGTTAAGTCAGAGTTTTACACCGCCATTGACACAATCTGTTATATTCATTTAGGAGGCGGACATCGACCTTGCCTGTCCGGGCCAATCTGGGCTGAAAGGGATACGACGTCCAAGCAGAGAGACTCAGATACTCGATATAAATTCTCTCTACGCAGAAATCGAACCCATGTCTTCTGCCTTTGAGGGGTAAGTTCCTGACCGCTGCACCACAGACGTCGGTGTGATAACGTTGCTATCGCAAACACTCAGACTGATTGCATGATCTCCATAGCCTTACTTTTAACAGTTTTTGCTGAAAATGCGGGTGACTCGTCGTAACTTGGGCCACCACTGAGAAAGCCATTGCGTCCCAAGACATAGGCAGGTGAGGGGTTTTAGCACCCTTCTGTAGTCACCAACACATTCAGACAAGACTTCAGCTAAAAGCAATCATAATAGGTAGCATTTGTATAGCGCAAATCCCCGCTCAACAGCAAGCTCTATGCGCTTTACAATAAATATTATTACCCCAGCAGACCAGGGAGCATTCTGAAACTTCAACTTCTTGGGAAGCATACAGTGCAAGTGACCATTTATAGGCGCTAAAACACTAACAAACTGACAAGATCTTTCGTTGCCTATAGCTGGGTACCTATTCTCACTTGGGTGAAGTGAGGAAAAGTGTGGCGTAAAGTGCCTTTCCCAAGGACACAACATCAGGTCCGCGGCTCGAACCCCCGAACCCGCAACCTCACGATTACGAGTCCGGTAGCCTAATCACTAGGCCACCAACGCCACGTAGTTTGCTTGTTGTTTGTTTTTTTAAGTAGGTATTTTTTATGCACCCATCGACAAAATTAAGATCATTTAAGAGACAGGCATCGATACGACCCTGCCTGTCAGTCTCAGGGTAAACCCGGGACCCGGGCTGAGAGGAATATTACAGGCCTACTCGTCTCTGTAAAAATAAAAAGACCGAGCGAGAAACTAAAATAAAAATTCTCCACACACAGGAACCGAACTCAGGTCGACTGTGTTAGACGGCCAAGCGCTCAACCGCTACACCAAGACCACAGATGCTGGTAAAGTTATTGAAACTGGACTTTCATTCAACACGTAAGAAGATTATTTTAAAGGTAAAACGGGCGGATCTGGCGTCAATCTCCGATAGGACCGAGCCAAGTGGTGGAGATTTTCTGTTTTCGTAAGAGTTTTACGGCACTTGCAACACAATAAGGTC